TTTTTGTCCGCAGCACAAAAAGCAAGCTAGAAGTGTTCATCTTAAAAAGCATCCCACAGCTGAGCACTGCTCTGTATACTCCACTTGACTTTATAGCCACCATCAATTTGTTTAATGTCCCCTTTACCTTTTCATCCGTACTGCCCCCTAAGTTGAGGGAGCTCCCTCAAGGAGCCTGATAAATTTGAAGAGGAAACCTGTGATGTGGCTTCCTGCAATTAGGTCATTAAAGTTACACACTCAAATCCCTTTCAGCCTTAAAGCCTGTGAAGCTGTGACATCGTCTTCTCTTAGATCGCACTTTAGAACTCATCTGTGTCATGATGTCTTTAAATAATTCAGCCGCAACCAGGCAGTTGGGCTGATCACACCCAATTAATCCTGATGATTCTTCCTTCACCTGCCACTTTATTATTGAAAGAACAGACAGAGCTCTTGAAGCTAGACAGAGTTGGCTTTATTTTTTTTTTAACTCACATGGATAGTACTTAGCCCAATAGTCTCTGGCTGCTTTCCAAAGCCGCTGGCAAAAGAGGCAAAATACAGCAGGACACCCAAGAGGAACAGGTGACAGTGCATATATGGCAGTCGAAATTCAGTATTAATGACATTATTCTAACTTTAAGTAAATTTTGCAAGTTGTTAAGTTCCAAAGTAATCATCCCCATGCAAAACAGAGATCTGTGCATCTTTGACAGCTGTCTTTTTTGAGCAAAGCTCAAAAAAAACCACCAGTATTTTTGTGTCACTGTTCACAATGTAGAGAATGCTTGGCTGGCAGTCTATGCGTTAATGAGATGTCTCACATCTAACAACACAGGTAACAGTCATCTCAATCTCTTACCTTGTCTGGAGCAAAAAAATAAGAGATTTAAGGAAGAGCAGCAAAAGTGGCTAGAAACATGGGCAGATTCTCAAGATTATTTTTTTCTTCTAAATAAGGCTAAGGAAAGTACAGTTACAAATATTTGTTTGCCAGATCTCTAATGAAACCAAAAAGCAATGAATTTAACTCTGATAATTAAAAAACAAAATTTTTCATATATGAAGGTAGCAGAACGTACTAAGACAGCACCAGAAGCCAAGAAAGAAATGATTTCACCAATTCCTTCAGAAGCCCGAAGCTATATTCCAGATGCTTGCTGCTGTAAACGCCAACATAAGGATATACTATCTCAAAAGCAGTCATGTTGTAGATGATGCATATTACTCATAGACAATGATAGCTCAAGGCAATATTTCACATACCTGGAAACATCACTCAAGTTTGATCCGAAGTGAAACACAGCACTGAGTTGATAACAACAACAAATTCACCCCCACGATTCTCCTGACTGAGAATTATAAACCCTCAGGTACCACACAAGGCTCCTTTGAATTTAAAGTGTGTTTTAAAATTGATACTACTCTCCATGTTTTCAACAAAGGAAATCTATGAAGATTAGTTATATCCACTCCTTATATTCTACAAGACAAACCCTTGTTACAGGAATAACAGTGAATGCAAGAAGGGTAAGGCACTTGTCATACAGACATTCACATCACAAGAGACCCCCAAAACTAAACACTATATGGGCTAAACTGGCCTGAAACATCAACCCTGCTAAAATAAGGAGTAAACTGTAACATTTAAGCACTTAGTGTTAAACAACAGCACTTACATTTGACCTTGTTCTGTTTGCTTGGGTGGGAGGATGCTAGGTTTTTTCCTTTATTATTATTATTTTGCTTAAGTTGGTGTACAAAAGGTTGGGCAATTCAGCATACAAGCATTGGGAGCTGGAAAAGATTAGTTAAAAAAAAAAAAAAGCATCTCTACTGCTTGCCCTCTAGCACACAAAACTCCTCAGAAACCCTGAAGAAGGAATTAGTACACCATACAATAGATTTGATCAGTGAGGGAAATAAGAGTCATTTTAGGGCTTAACATAGTTAAGCTGGCAAAATAATTCTTTTCAACTGTTTTTCCATTTCAATTGGTTTAATACTCTACAGAAGGACGTAGAACAGATAGTCATCCACCTCCACAAGGGAGGAAAACTGGCTAGGTGCAGACTCAGATAAGCAAGAGAAAGCATTTTTCATTACTAAAAAAATGAATCTTTGAATACAGGTTATTGTGTTTGGGGTACATCAAGAGAATGCAAATATGAAGTGTTACAAAAACACCTCACCTCACCTTCACATCTCTGAACACATAGAACTGATTAGCTGCCGTAATTTACACTAGTTCTTTGAGGAGTGAATGGCAAAGAACTGCATGTAGGCTTCTGGAACACAATGTAGCAATTTGTACTAAAATTAGCATATTAAAAACAAATTGCTAAATGGCACAAAGACATAATTTGCACAACCAGCTTTCAGATAGGCTCTTCAGCCTGCAACCTAAAGAAAACATAATATTTGATTTGGACCTGACAGTATCCTTCAAGCTTTGGGCCTCCAACAGTTTCTTATAAATTATTTATAACAAACTTTTAATGCAAAATTTTTAAATATACCATCAGCTTAATGAGTGGTACCGAAACAGTGAGAAATCAGAAACCAATTTTCACTCTTCTGTAAGGTAACACTTAAAAGAATACAGGCTATATGTGAGTTTTAAAAACAGTATCCGCAACATCACAAATTACCACAGCGAGAACTCTGAGAGAGATGAGAAAAATATTTTTGTACCTTCTGGGTTGTTTGCTCTCTGAATTTGAATTTTTGATAGAGTAAGGAGGCCATAAAGGCACAGCAACTGACATAAGACCGCTGGGCCACACAGACCCCGAATATACTCTCAGCTCTTCTGCTAAAGCAACTACATTTCAGGGTAACATCTCTCTGATATTTCAAAGTAATTAGCGTCACATTAAGTATTTTAGAGAAAGTTGGGAAAGACCTCTTAGCTGGTTTATGAAAGATACGTCGCCAACCCACTTTTGCTGGCTAAGATTTAAATGAAGTGGGTTCATATCCTCAAAAAAAAAAAACCCAACAGTTTTTTTTCCTCTGACCCTGAAAGTGCAGGTACAGAATTATTGCTGAAGAAAATCTAAACCATCTTGACATCTCTACTGAAATTATCTACTGTTAAGCTAACCCTAAAATAAAGCGAGCTTATGTACTGTTTTGCCTTTTAAACTTGGACCATTAAATGCTTTAATTTACAGCACAGCCCTTATACATATTTTTTTCAGCGTGACTGACAGACCAACAAACTGTGGTCCCAAACACCAAAACAGTAAGGAGGGACCAGACCTTTTACTTCAGAACACACACCTTTCCACCTCCCACCATTAATCTCATCCTCATCTTCCTTCTGCTGCATAATCTAGAAGCGGATGAAAAGTGTCAGTTCACAAGGCCAACAATGTGGGGATTATTTCAAAAATTTACATGCTAGTCAAATTTATTTTTACATGGGTGAAGCAGCAGAGCTTCCTCTTCCCTACGAAGATTATCTCACAAATTACTTTTATCACGAGGAAAACACAAAAATACATACTCTGCAAAAGTCTCATTCTATTTAAAAACTTCGTCTGTCCTGTTTTAAGAGTATTTAATTTTGTTCCCTCTTCAGCCAGCCTGCCTATTCTCAGCCATAAATCTACGCACCAACTTCCCTTTTCCCCCGAGTTTCTATGCTGCCTATGCTACTGTTATTCAGATCCTGTACTCCTTCCCATTCCCACACTCTGAAACCTCTTTCACAACTATTCATTTTGGTCCTTCATCCACGTCAGTGTTTGTAACCAGGAGTCACAGCCTGGCATCGCCGCCCAGAACCTTCCATCTCCTGCATGCCAAGCTCTTCCAAAGCGCTGCTAAAGCACCCCAGCTATGCAAAAGGCCTCCTCAGATTGCCTACTCCAAGCACTTCAGGGTAGGTGAGCCTGTTGATTTTAGTACTATTTTCCTAGGGTCTTAACACTTCAAAAGGAGCCGCCTACCTTATCCATGTGAAAGCTTTTTGTAGGACAGGGTGTCTGTTAGGTGGCAGCACATAACTACAACTACTACACCCTTTAAAGTCACTGCCCACGACACAAAAATATTTAATTTTTCAGCAAAACATCAGTGACAGAGGGCTTGATCCTTTACCTACTACTGCACTGGTAGCAGGTACTGGATGGCACACTACTGGATGACCCTGTAGTCAAAGCACCTTCTTCTTTCCCTAAAATGCTCTTGAATATATGTAAATTCCCAACTGCCTCTGAATAACGGAGTTTTGATGTCAAAACAACAGCCTGCTCTCTTGCCGTTGCTCCGAGCTATCCTAGAAGACCACCACCTGCAACAGAGCAACCTGATGATGGTCAAGACCCACCAAAGACCAGTGGGGCGAAGGTGTCTCTCCTGGATGAAGATGTCTCTTCTGTACAAAGATAACTTCTCCATCCCTGCTCTCCCCGAACAGTTTCACACGGTTTGACCGTCCATGGCTGGGCAGATGCTCCCATCTCCTCTCAAGGGGAGGACAGCTGCAGACCAGCACGGCTTTACAGCGTGGCACCCCAAGCAGGATTTCAGTGAAAACTTCAGCCATCCACGTAGTGCCACACAATCACCCCTGCTCCAGTGCCAAGCCCCCCGAGACCCGGCCACCCCACCTCAGCCACCCCCCTGATGCCTCCCCAAGCCCCTGGACACCCTCCTCCTGCCCTACCATCACTTCGGACACAGGCCAAAGGGACAGACTTGGGAGGGGGGGGGCCAAACAACACGCTGGGGCACGGGGAGAGAGGGGGCTACACCACCCCCTCCTTAAGACAAGGATTTGGGGAAGAAAGGGACAAGAAAACACCCATTTCCACCCACTGGGGCTCGCTGAGGGGCAGGGGCCCCGTTAACCCGCCATTTGTCCCCCTCAGGAAAGAGGGGCCATGGAGGAGGGAGGATTCCCCTGCCGTGGGGCCTAGTCAGTGGGGTGAGGGCACGGAGGGCTGGGGAGGGGGCGGTAACTGAGGCGGCGGCGGGACGCGGCCCCCGGGGCCGGGGCGGCCACTCACAGAACTCGGCGATGTAGTAGGAGACGGCGTAGTTCTCCTCGCACCACTCCAAGGTGGAGGTCGGCGGACCCCAGTAGCCCTCCCGGTCGGCGGCCGGAGCCATCGCGGCACCCGCTTCAGGCCAGAGCGGAGCAAGGCGAAAGGGGAGGAAGGAGAACGGTGCCGGGCCCGAAGCGCGGCGGCAGCGGCGGGCGGGGGCC